GCTGCGATCAAGGACTTGCATAAAAGGAGGCATACCGACATCCCGAATGTTGTCATTACCAGGGGTAAAAACATGCGCCTTCGTCACTTTTCTGCAGGTCTCAAGCCCATCATGCCAACAACAACTACCAAGGGAGCCTGGCTGGATGAGGCCCAAAGGTCACTTGGAAATCTCTTCCAAGCAGTCGGACTTGACCAAAATGGGAGAAAGGAGCTGTCCAAAGCCCTTACAGTCGTCATGGGCGCCTGGGGTCAGACCCCCGTTGAACAATCTTCTTCCTGGACATCCAGTGTGGGCAACGATGGCTCCCCGATCGAATTTTCCGTTGCCGTGGATCCCACCACAGGCGAGGCAGAGCTTCGACTTCTTGCCGAGGCGCAACCAAGTCCCTCTGACAAGACGAACAACAACTTGAACCATCTCTGGGCCCGTCTCAGCTCGGCCGCCCTGAAGCTCAACGATACCATCTCGGCAGAATACAAGCCTTCCATCTCGTTGGCTCGATTTTCCCAAATCCGGGATCTCTTCCTGCCTTCCTCGCTTCCCGCCGACAAGCAGACGATAAAACTGGCAGCATGGCACAGCTTTGCCTATTCGGCACGCAAAGGTCCGCAATGGAAGCTTTACCTCGACCCTTCCAACGCTGCCGATGGCTACACCGCCCTGTCATCCACTCGCGAGGCCTTCACCCGTCTTGGGCTGTATTCTGCATGGAAAAGCGTGGAATCCATCCTCGGACCGTCCGATTCGGTGGTGTACTTCTCGCTGGATCTGACTGGGAAAGTCGACAGCAGTGCGCGGGTCAAGGTGTACATGGCTCATTCTGTGGACAAACAACAAATGACGCCTGCAACATTTAGATCACAAGCTGCCATCATCGCAGACAAGCACGCCAAACTGTGTGGGCACTATCCAGAGAGTATCCCAGTAGACGGGTATGAAATCCAACGCTTCATCGCGGCAATGTCAGGCCCGGATTTCGACAAGACAGACTTGGATCTTGGCAATCGGAAACCGCTGCTCAGCTGCTTTGCTTTTACCACAACACGCAGCGATCGAGAGGCCCCGACAGCGGTGCTAGCAAACACAACAGTCCACTTCCCCATGGATGCATATGTCCCAGATGACGAGGAAGCCCATCGACGGACCGAGGCGTACTATTCAGCATCTGCAAACGAGGCAAAGGATATATATAACAAGGTCCTAGGTGCCGTGCAGACGAGACCTCTCAACAAGGCCAAGGGCATCCACGCTTGGGTGAGTTTGAAGCAGAATGTCACTTCCAAGACGGGATCCGATGATACGAAGAAAGGAGCTGGGGTGGAGAATACCTTTTACTTTTGTCCCGAGATCCTTGGAGGGAAGTGAGAAGGCTTCAGTTCGTGGGATGGGAAAGAGGGTATAAATGGCTTTTCAAGTCCTCATATTTTAAACATATAGCACTTTTCACAGATACATCCAAGAAATGGAGAATACGCATAAGACAGTCGTTCTTGGCGCCTACACAATGGCGTGCATATAATCAAGTGTGTCATAGGGCACCTGATTCATCAAAAGCCGCGGATAGGCGAAGCCTGACTCGTTGGCCCAGCATCCCTCGGGTTGCCATCAAGACACCAGCAAGGACCTCCCATGCTCTCCACGTGGTTTCGGATCCAGGTCCCCACCCGTTTCTGGGTCAAACATGGCTCCAACACCATGCCACGGCCGAGTTTCGGGAATCTCGGGGCTCGTGTTTCGAAATTTCTCTGCATCCGTTTTTAACTTCGTCCAGGCTAGCTCAGGCCGTCTGCCCATACTACCATACACATGTACCTTACCTCATGTCGAAATACTCGGAAGAAAACAACACCAAGAAGAAGAGATGGAGCCATCTCCGCAGCAGCAATCACAGCAAGCACCGCCAACACCGGATGACGTACCCTATGACACAGCACTGGTCAGCGAAATCCTGAAAGCCAAGCGAAAATCACGCGGCATCAAGTCGTGTTTCCCGTGTCGCCACCGCAAAGTGCGCTGTGATGGCGGCATCCCCTGCTCCAACTGTGTCCGTCGGGACCATGCCTCATTGTGTCGAACGGCGGTGCCCAATTCCGCCTCTGGCACCACAGGCATGCAGTCAACGTCTTCTCAGGCTCATCGGCCGAGTGCGCCATCGATCGATTTGCTCATGAACCCAGTTACCAGCGAAAACCGCATCTCGCCACTCTCGGGAGCCGACTTCTTCCAGGGAACAACAGCTCATGGCATGAGCCAGTGCCAGTCACCAGCAGCCCAGCAGGGCGGAGGATTTCCGCCAACTCAAACGTTGCCTGGCTTGGCTGATATTCAATCCGTCTCATCGCCCTTCTCATCATCGGAGCTTGGATGTCAGGATGTTCAGCACACCATCAGAGGACTCGAGAAGATCGAAGAGCAAATAGCCACGCTCAAAGCTGAGCTGCTCGGGCGACGGCATGGATATGACACGCAGTCTACACCAGCAGCGTCGTTTTATGGCACTGCCACGCCTCCCAACCACCACGAACCTCTGACTCAGTCCACCTCGTCCAAACGCCGATGGGGGAGGAGGTACATTGAAGGGGCGAGCGGCGCCGCCATTTTCCTCGGAGGACGAGCCGATCCTCCAGCTACCCTGGGATGTCATGACGACCCCACGCCTCGCTCGACCGAAGACGCGCTTCACCTCGACAACATCATGCAGCCCGAATATTTTGCTCCCAGGACTTACCCCTTCACCAACCTCTGGACAACTGAAGCTAGCTTACCGGATGTGTGTAGAACGCTGCCGCACAACTCGGATATTATACGGTATTGGCAGGCATTCGAGACGTATGTCTTTCCGTTTTACCCAGCTTTGGTAGCACTGGAGGAGTTTCGATCATCCATGTTCATGTTCCTGGGGCGACGATCTACGGCGGCTGCACCCAACACCAGCTCGGCATCTCCGTCGTTTGTGGAAACAACAGACCCTTCATGGCTGGCGCTGCTGTTTGCCGTGTTGGCCTGTGGAGCCCAGTTCTCTGACGACGCGGCCAAAGAGCGCGATCTGAGGTCAAAAGTCTTTAGTATGTTACTTTTTCCCGACAGAGTTCATGTTTCATGAGACCGACAGGATTAACAATACCAAGTCTGCTCTTCCTTCCAATGCCTCCGTACGGCCAATCTTTTCCACAAGACGGATATGAACCAGATCCAGGCCATGGCTCTGGTGGGGCACTCGTTGAGGAACAACCTCGAGACAAACAGCGCCTGGATCTTCATGGGTAAGTGACACCTTGTCTGATACTAGACTTATCCACACTGACAGCGTCTCTTCAAGGCACTACCCTCCGTCTGGCCCAGAGCATCGGTCTTCACGAGGCAGCTTCCATGCCTGTGCCAAACCAGCTTGACGAAGCGCAGGAGCGCCGCAAACGACAGGCCAAACATCTGTGGTACTTTTTCCCGCACTCCCCATTCTCGGCGAAGCCGTCCACACGCCTAACGTCCCATTTTTGTTTCCGACAGGTGGACTCTAGTATGGCAAGATACCCTCCTCAGCATAACCTACGACCGACCAACCACGTCAATCTTCACCACCACCGCCTGGACGGTCCCTTACAGCGCGTCCAGTCCCCCGTCGAACCAATGCCCCGAGCACAAACCGAAAGGCTACACCTTCGCCGAGGCAGTCTTTCACGTCTGCCAGATCCTGCTCGACCGTTCCAGACAAGAACATGCCACGGGTCCTTTGCAGTCCGGCACCCCAAGAACGGCCGAGATTCTCGAGCACAGCAAACGCCGCCTGGAACTGACCGTCCAGGAAGCAGCACCCTACTTCCGGGACGAGGCGTACTGCAAGACGATGCAAGAACATCTCGAACGACTAGCGCTGCAAATCCACGTTTCGTACGCAGCTTGTGCCATTTACCGGCTCTGCCTCGATCGGAACAATGGCACGTCAGGAGCAGGGTCCGAGCCGCCGCCTGCACCGTCCAACCCATCGGGCTACAAATGTCCCTGGAGCAGGGCAAAGCTCAAGGAAGAGTACATCGCCCACGCAGCCAAAGCAGTGCGCAGCTTCCTGGACATGTATCGTCTTTCGCCCAACGTCTGTCGCTCATGGGCATTCGTGCACAACGCAGTCAGCTGCGCCGTCACAGCAAGGAGGTTTCTGCCCGTTGTTCCGCAGCTCAATCCTGCTCCGCCGCCGCCGCCACCTCCTCCTCCCAGCCTGCCATCCGTCTCGAGAAGCCCCGGAGAGGCGCATCTAGGGCTGCTCCCCTATGACAGACGATCGAGCACCACGTCGGCGGGGATATCCAACCTCTTGAACAATAATGCCAGCACCAACACGAATACGGCCGCATTAATACCCATGCCAACGATGCAACAAGCTTCACATGCACCTCCCCCAACGACGACGACGACGACGACGACAACAACAACAACAAGCAACCCGTTCAGCACAACCAGTAGTAACCACGAGTTCGAGAATCTAATCAGCGAGCTGATCACTGTGCTTGAACGGGAGGAGAAGCAGTCGGAATGGCGCGATGCGGATACGAATGTGCGCTATTTCGGGCCTTACTCGAGGGCACTGGGGTCGCTGAAGGAGACGTACTGTCAGGCTGGGTCTGGGTTCAAGGGCTGTTTCTAGCGGGATTGGTGCATGGTTAATGGTGGTGAATGGGCAAGTATCGCTTTAATAGGTTGGAAAATCGTTGGCTGTATTATGATGAGTTGGTTTTGTTCTTTGTAAATAGTTTTCTAGTTAGATCTTTTAGTACAGGGATGATGTGGGTGTCTGATCATCCTGTATTGGCGGGTAATAAATGACATTGTAATATGTGGTAACAAGCTGACAGTTTGGTAAATAAAGTCTGGTCGGATGTGATAATAAGGAGTGGTAGCAAGGAGTGGCAGCAACATAAAAATCGAGGTTGCCAGTGGGATAGATAATAAAACAAGAGAAGTGTCAAAAAAGGAATAAAAGAAGGAAAGAATGCAATAAAAGTGGGCCTGACCGTGGATTGAACACGGGACCTCTCGCAAATGAAGATATCATGAACCGTAATTCAGAACCCAAAGCGAGAATCATACCTCTAGACCATCAGGCCGTGTTCCAGTGTTGTCATCCGACTCAGTGGATTGTTGTGAAAGAAGGTTCGAACTTTCCCTTTATATTGAAATTACTGGTTCCACCGCTGGCAGCGGCTTCACCGGCTGTGAGTCAGCCGGCAAAGTCCGCCCGTTTACCAGGCCAACCCCCGAAACCCTTGGCGAGGTCCACTGTATTTACCTAAACTCAGCTGTTCAGGGGCGCACGTAAGCAGACACAAAGCCCGAGCAAGACCGAAATTGTTTCATCTCTTCCTGTCATCTGACCTTATGAACTGTTGGATCAAATGACAACTATGAACCCAAACAACGGATGGGACAACAATAACATGTTTTCGGACCAGGTGAAACGTTGTCTTCGTCCGATCTGGGTTTGCGCATAACTTATGACTTTTGCCATTCAGTTCCAACCTGGCATCCCAATCCCGGAACCTAGCATAAAAAAAACAAGTGCACACTGCAGAAGATGCCAAACTCTCTTTGAACTGCATGCCATACTCATGGCCTGAACGATCATCAAGTACAAAGACATCTGCCTCCAATTAAAATCTTGATGTCCCATTATAGACATTGACCCGCTGGACATAACTACCCATTCCAAGGTAAAACCTCCTTCTTCTCCTCCCCATTAACAACAACAGGCTCGGTCCCAATCAAGAAAAAAACCAACCTCGCCCACTCGGTATCACTCGGGTTCTTCCACCGATGCAGTGTCCCCCTCTGCACCAGCACATCACCAACCTTGAGCCGTCTACTCTCGCCACTCTCAAGAATCATATCCATCTCCCCTTGCATCACAACCCCAAAATCAATCGTCTCTGTTCGGTGGAATTCCAGCGTCGCCCCAGGGGCCCAGTCGCAGTATCGAACTAGCGATTCACCCGGCTTGGGGAACCACACCCCTGGATTGGGCGCTGTCCGGTTGGCATTGGCTGCAATGGCTTGGATGTCGGACTCGGAGGTCATGTTGGGCGGTGTGGTAAAGGTTTGGTAGGCATCGAAGACGACCATGCCGATTGAGCCGTAGGCGGGTACCTCGACTGGGAAGGCTTGGGTGGAAGGGAAAAAGACTGCTTGGCCGGTTGAGGTCGAGTGGGTGGTTGTGTGCCGACGGGGAGCACCCAACGGAGAGGAGATTTTGGGCGGTTCTGGGTTTTCGGTGGATGGCATTTTGATACCCGGGTGCAACGAGGGTTTGTTATGGAATGGGTAAAAGGCTCGACAGTAGGAGTGGGTTGTGGCTAGCACGATGGTGAGGGTCAGGATAAAGTTGGAGATGGACTTCATGGTGAAGTCTGGGTCGCGTGTTAATTATGGGGAACTTATAAGTGAGAATCGGGGTGCTGGGAGAGAACAGCTTGTTGGCCATGATCTCTAGAAGGCTCGATCTCAGATCTAGCGCCGGCTCTTTATAGCCTATTTTTTGCTGGATGAAAGTACACGCTCGAGCATGTTCTGGCCCGCTTTCCAAATTCCATCGAGAGGGCCCCGAAAACGGGATACAACTATCGCCGAGGACGGGTGCTGCAACCCGTGCATATAAATGGCTGTACGACGCGAGGCTTCCTTCCAGTTCGCTGGCTCGGACGACGGTTCCGGGATTTCGGGGTTCAAGGGGCTCGGTAGTTGCATTGAGGGAGGGCCGTCCCGCTCGCCGTCCCGTGTTTTCTGGATGGTAGTCATGTTTTTACGCCAGCGGGGAATGCCAAGTAAGAGAAGAAGAATTGCAACAAGGTCATCATGCACGGGTCTGCATCAACATTACAGAAGAACATTGTACTTGTGGGCATTTAATAGAAGAAGGACGCAGTACATGATGTAGCAACCACGAACAGCATAATCTGAATCGAGGTAGTGCCACCAATAATAGGTGCAGTAATCGTAGTCGGCGTTGATTGGGGAAGGTGGATGGATTGCTGCGAGTATCTCGGAAAAGCATAGATTGATTTGTACGTAAGGAGATCTAGTGTGAAGTGGCAAAATAAAACAAACAACAAAGGGAAGAATAGACATGCCCACTGTCTCCCAACCAAAACCTTCAGCCAGACATCATCCTCAGTTAATATCCTCATCGTCAGACATGTCCTCGTACGAGTAGTCCTCATCATCGTCATCGTCATCAGGCAACTTGGAAGCCATGGTCAAGCGGAACAAGCTCAAAATGTTCCTATCGACCGGCTTGGTGGGCTTGCCCGCCGACTCAGTTCCGCTCTCATTAGGGACAACCTCCGCAAGGTCGAGCTTTCCGTTCAAGACCGTCTTTAGCACCTCGGCCGAGTTCTTGACCCTCACAAATTGAGCAGCTCCGTTTACCGGGCCAGTCGGCTTATCAAGTTTAGTACCAGCGCCATCACCGGTTCCGGGCCCGTAAAACATGATGCCCGCCCAATCCGCAATCGAGCTGATAGCCCACTCGGCCCAGGCATCATATGCCAGCCGACTAGAAAGCGGATCGACGCCCTTGACATCCTCGTCTTGCTCAATCTTGAGCTTGGCGACGAGATCAGTCAGGAACTTGACCACGTCGGCGCGTTCTCGGTCGAGGATGTTGTCCTCGAGTGCCTTGATGATGCGGGAGTGGGGCACGTAGTGGTTATAGACCCAGTGCTTGGGCTTTCCGGTGCTGGGGTCTTTCTTCTCGGGCTCGCCGTCTTTGGAGACTAGTTTATGCCAGGCTGTCTTTTCAAAGAGGTCGCCGCGCTGGTAGCGGATGAAGTAAATCTTTCGTTTGCCGAAGGCGTCCTTGGGGACGGTGGAGTTGGCGTCGTCGTAGTCGTAGAGGGAAAGCATTTTGGCTGGTTGTGGGTACTAGTATCAACTATTGAAGAGGCTGGGGTCTAATGGATATGTCTTTCAGTGAAAGATGAGGATTGCCCGAGTTGAAAGGTATTTCGACGAACTTTGGAGTGGTGATCGGTGATTATATCCCAGTGCAGGGAAAAGTTTAGGATTATTGCTCGACTTTATACTTGAGTCTCGGAAGACAGACGTCGTCGTGTTCGACGTCGGAAAGAAACCACAATAATCGTAATCGCATTGCAAGCCGAAAGTATCATTCCTCGACAGCATCAGTCTCGGCCATGCCGCACTTTGTTCTCACCTCCCAGATGGCCTTCCGTTCTGTGAGCTGCTGGCGATATCACGACTAGGTCAAAATTGCCTCGTTGTACAAGAATACCGCGACCAGCTTCAAGAATTGTGCCCTCGGTCATATCAAAAATATAGCAGCTCATTCTCGTGATGCAGAATTGGGCGTCAGAGTGTCTTGGCCAAGACCAGAGATGGTAAAGTCCTCATCACCACTACAGACGATCTCCTGCACAAATGATATCAGGGTCCAGAGCTGTGGCTGCTTCGCCCCAGAATCTCGTACCAGCTTGACGGTACTAAACCTCTCTATAAGCCATGCCTCCACGTGGTGCATTTTTGATGGTTCGCTTTGCCTGTTTAGTCTTTGCGGTGCATATGGAGTGTTTGTTTTGAGACATCAACGACGAATAGGAGAACCTTGGAGGGCCGAAGGGGACCCCTATTGGACATGAGACCATCCAAAAGCAGCCGGATATGCCAATACCACGGACAGCTCCGTCCTTACGTCCTTACTTGCATCCTGACCATGCAGCTGTTGGTAAAAGCTCAGCCACAAAGTCTCCTCAAGGTATCGTCTGGGCACATCTAAGCCAGGAGAAAATTCTTCCGCAGTATCACGATCATGTTCGTGGCAACTTGGATGGCAGTGGCTCCCCGACTCGAAGGTTTCCAAATAGGATTCTTTGTCCGATTGCAATGATACAGTAGCCCAGGGTGCGTTACTTGGACAGGAAATGGAGGCATGAACACTGACGTTCGGGCCTTTCGGCCCCGACCATACCTTCTCCGAGCTCATGGTGTTGTCACACAGGCCGCAATAACTTTTGGCGCCTAATATTCAGGCACCACTACTCTTATATACAGGCACCAGTCCAATACTGCAAATTCAATTTCAAGGTATTTATTCTAACTAGTTAAGGCATTTATTCTAGCTAGTTAAGGGATTTATTCTAGCTAGTTAAGGCCTCTATTCTAGTCTAGTTAAGACATTTATTCTAGCTAATTAAGGTATTTCTTCTAGCCAGTTAAGACCTCTAGTTATTCTAGTCTAGTTAATGTATTTATTCTATCCAGTTAAGGCCTCTATTCTAGTCTAGTTAAGGTATTTATTCTAGCCAGTTAAGGCCTCTATTCTAGTCTAGTTAAGGTATTTATTCTAGCTAGTTAAGGCCTCTATTCTAGTCTAGTTAAGGTATTTATTCTAGGTAGTTAAGGTATTTATTCCAATAAGAGTAGTGCTTCTATATAAGAAGACTGGTGCCTGTATAGAAGAGGACTAGTGCCTATATATTAGGGGCCTAACTTTTGCTGTGTGTTTTGTGAGCTGTTGGGTGGGCTTTTTGTGTAGAGAGAACAGATCCCATTGTAACGAATAGTGAAGAGAAATGAAACACTTCAAAGAAGCGCTGTTTTGTCTTTCTGGTGAGACGTCTTCGTATGAACATTCTGTATGTCAAGACTATTCTCGCATTTGTTCAACCGCCGAGGCAGGCATTCCAGGGAATGACTGGCTAACCTGAAAGTGGTCAGTGTTGCAAGTATAAAGTTATGTCCAAGATTACATCTCAAGTATAAGTTTCTGGGAAATTCACCTCCATTTCTAGAGGTCGCGACTCCAAATCTAGGCGCCTGTGTCGCCGATTTTGGAGTCAAATGTCCCGCCAAGACCTTCTTCCACTAGGTACACTCCTGTGAGGACCGACCTCAAGAAGGTAGCACGTGACAACGCGTGGCAACACGGTCCCCAGCTGTTGAACTATCAAGCCCGCTCCCGGAAGGGGTGGGCAAGTTCTCAAAGTCAATTGATGTGGCGCTCCCGGGCAGACACACGTACGACCTGTACGACAAGCTGAAGCGAAAAGAGGCTTGTATACTTGCACAACTCCGGACAGGTATGGCGAGGTTGAAT